GCTTGGGAAGGTGCCACCTGGGGGGGGCGTGGTGGCGGCGGCGGAGGAGTTGTGAAGACGGAGGCGAGTGAGGGGGGCGGGGGAGGGGGGCTGTCTTCGGCGTCGCCCCCTCCCAAGAAAAAGAAGAAGTACATTCGAAACCCGGAGACTCACAAGGAGTACCGCACGAGGATGGAGGCGGAGCTGTCCCAAGCAAGGGTGAGCGGGCTGTTGTTGTTGTTTGGTTTGGCAAAGGTTAGGGTTTGTTTCGGCCTTGGACTACATATTCAAACTGCACCCGTTGGTGTCGGCAGCAGCAGCACGTGTGCTTTCACGGACACGCTACGTAATACGGATCCGCAAAACATACTGTTAAGTGTTCTTTGATGTTCGGCATTTGCAGGGGCTCCCTTTGTGTTTTCCGTGTCCTCTGCCCATGTGTATAGCACGGGTTTGATTGGGCGGGGGCGGGGGGCGTGGGCATGGGAGTTTTCGATGATCCCATCTGATGTAGCGGCCGGCCTCATTCCTGTCATTCTTTGTGGCATGCCTTGAACCCCACATTTGTTTTGTGAGAATAAGCGAACTCAGGGGGCATGTGCTTTCTCTCGCTTACCGCAACTGCTAAACCCAACCACGGCTGCCGCTGCTGATGCTGATGCTGATGCTGATGCTGATGCTGATATCGCTTGCTGGTGCGGGTGCTGATGCTGATGCTGATGCTGCCGATAACGATGCTGGTGTGCTGGTTGCACCGACTGATGCCGCTGCCAACGCGACGCGGCATCTGGTGATTCTCTCCTGCGTAGAGGATGCTCGAGGAGGGTAACGCCGCCATGGTGGAGCTTGCGCGGGACTACAAGCGGCAGCAGGCGATCATAGACAGGTACCGCACCGAGGACAACTCCCTGCAGAGCTTCTCTCAGCTGACGCAGTCGCAGCCGACCAAGCAGCAGCAGCAGCAGCAGCAGCAGCAACAGTTGCAGCAGCTGCAGCTGGCGCCGGGCCAACAGCAGCAGCAGCAGCAGGTGCGGGCGGCCTTTTCTTTTAGACTTGTTTTTGTTGGTGGGTGTTGGAGGAGCAGGGGTGCGGCTTCGGCATAGCCGTCTCTTGCCACCGGCAATTTTTACGTTGTTGTTTTGTTGGTGTTGTTGTTGTTGTCCTCACACCCTAAAGAAAACGTTCCGATCTGTGCTCAGTGCCTTCTATCGAGCGTAGTGGTCCAACTGAGGCCGCGGGCTGGACGTCGGTGTTTCAAGCATCGCTCTCCTCTTCCCCGGTATTTAGTTTCTTCTCCCACGCTGAAGCGTGAGGGTTGGCATTGACGCCCGATTCAGCAAGCAGTCCGGTTACATAAGTGTGTCGATGATGCCCGTAAAACGGCATTGCGTCCGTGTGACATCTGACGTCCAATGCGAACACAACAACAACAACAGCAGCAGCAATCTGATTGCGGGGTGCATCTCGAACACGCACAGCCAAAAGTTCACGACGCAAGAAAACCGCTCTTGGCACATAAATTGCACCGATTTCGAAGTATATCGCCTCTACAGAAGAAGAACGCTGCTGCTGCTGCTGCTGCTGCTGCTGCTGTGGTACGCTTGAATTCTTGCAGGCTCGGAGGGAGGTCGGCGGCATCGGCATCGGCGGCGGTGGTGTCGCGGAAGTTGCCAGCCCTGCAGCGTCCACCGCAGCCCTGGAGACTCTGGCAGACCCGGCGGTTAACGAACCTCAGGTGAGAATCGCTTTTTAGAAGGAATTACGGGTACAGTCGGTGAAAGACTATAGCTGGCACCCGCATCTTGAGAATTGAGAAATTCAGGACCAAAAGAAAAATAACAATTGACGCTACAAAAGAATACCAGCAATTATTGACAACAACAACTTTTAGAATTTTGTTTTTTTGCAAGACATGCCTAACCGTGGGTCGTATCAACGACTTCGCGTGGTGAGTCGCGTATGAAGTAAAACACTACCCAATTGGCTTGAAGCACACCCCAAAATACGCATGCGGCCGTTGATGATCGCAGGACGTGGAGCTGAGCCAGTTGACGCAAGAAACCGGGGTGGATCTGTCCCAGGCCTCCGCCCTGTCTATCTCCCATCTGGCGGATGCGGAGGAACCTCTCTCTCAGGCAAGCCGGTGCAAACGGCTGGCAAACCGGTGCACACGGCTTGCCTAGAAAATGCTGAATATTGTTTTGCATCGTGAGCCTGGATTATGGTAGGCTCGGTTCACAACACCGGGGTATCTTGTCGTCGAAGTGTTTTCGGATGGTGCTGGATGTTTCGTTGTTGCCGCTGTTGTCGTCGCTGTTACGGTTGTCATCGTTGTCATGGTCATCATCGTCGTCCTCACGGTTGTTGCGATCGCCGTTGTTGTCGTTGTTTCTTTTTGCCTCTGCTTACGCTGTTGCGTTGTCTTTGTGTGCTTGTTTTTTTCCCTTGCCCCCGTCGCAAACAGCCTGTGCGAAACCGAACCCCTTGTATCTTGCAACGTGCAGTATTGGAGTATTGATTGTTGTCGTACTTGCCCTTCCATCTGTGTGCCCAAAGTTTTGCGGCTGTCTAGGCACGTTGCTGCGACCAATCTGGTTCCAGATGGTGCCTCGTCGTGTCGTATCCCTGTCGCAACGTTGAAGCATGCGGCGAGATCGCATCCACCTAGAGTACCTCTTCAGTTGTGTCATATCTCGTGAGCAGGCTGCGTACTGGCAGCCGTTATAGCTGGGCGTGATGGACCCCCAAACTTGGCACCGCCACGAGCGATTGCCGAGCGCTTGTTGAGCCTTGTACTTTTCTTTTTCGCTTTTTGCTCGCGTCGTGAGCAGGCTACCCAGTGGTTGGCGGTATTCAAGGACAGCCAGGAGGCCTGGAGCTTGGACGATATCTTGCTCTCTCCGGGAGGAGCGGTGCGTGAAACGGTCGAGCCCCCCCCCCCCCCCCCCCCCCCCTGAAACCCTAAAAAAACCCCGGGCTCCCCCCCCCC